TGTGTGTGTGTGTGTGTGTGTGTGTGTGTGTGTGTCTGTGTGTGTGTGTCTGTGTGTGTGTGTGTGTGTGTTGTCATATTCGCTATACACTCAAAAACAGCATGACTGTACCGGACTGTTTCGTCGGACTTTCACCGACTCATCAGGAGGTTGAACCCCGACAGTCTGCCCAGGATGCATTTGACTGATGGATAAGGGTGTGTGTGTGTGTGTGTGTGTGTGAGAGAGAGAGAGAGCGATCGCGGCCTGCGCCATCGCCTCCGACCTCGGCCTCCACCCACCTCCGTTCGGCCTCCACCCACCTCCTCTCCGCCCACCTCCGCTTGGCCTCCGCCCACCTGCACCCACCTCGGACCACCTCCCAAAGTTAGTCTGTGTGTGTGTGTGTGTGTGTGTGTGTGTGTGAGAGAGGGAGAGAGAGAGCGATCGCGGCCTGCGCCATCGCCTCTGACCTCGGCCTCCACCCACCTCCGTTCGGCCTCCACCCACCTCCGTTCGGCCTCCGCCCACCTCCGCTCGGCCTCCGCCCACCTGCGCCCACCTCGGACCACCTCCCCTCCGTCTCCGCCCACCTCTGTCGGCCTCCCCCCGCCATCTCCTTTCCTCCGCCTCTACCACCTCCCATCCGCCTCCTCCGGTTATCTCCTCTCGCCATCTCCTCTCCGCCTCTGTCACCTCCCGTCCGCCTCCTCCCGCCATCTCCTCTCCACCTCCGCCACCTCCCGTCCGCCTCCTCCCGCCATCTCCTCTCCACCGCCGCCCTCCCGTACACTATCTCCTCTCCGCCTCCGTTCCGCTGCCTGCACATCCGCCATCCCTATGCCCACCTTAAACAACAAAAAATGGTGCGTGCCCGCCTCCCGTCAGCCAGCGCTGACCTTCTGTCCGCCTCTGCCCAACTTTGCCCACCTCCCTCCCGCCATTGGGATCGCCAATCTCCCCTCAGCCTCCGTCCGCCTTCCGTCCGCCTCCTCTGGCCATGTCCTCTCTGTCTTTCCGCTCGGCCTCCGCCACTTCTCCTCCACCTCCGCTCACCTCCGCCACTTCTCCTCCACCTCCGCTCACCTCGGTTCTGGGCTCCGTTCCTCTGCCCGCACACCTGCCATCCCGCTGGACATCCCATTGCCCGCCCCTTTTTTTTTTTTT